TACCTTTAGTGCTGATGCCTCGGAGGTCAGTGACCTTCATCAGCATTCGTGGGAACATGTGAGGCTTGTTGGGGCGTCGCCGGCGAGCGTAGATCTTTAACGCCTCTAGCAGAGGCTCCTGTAGCTGGTCCACCCGATGAGGTTCCTCCAGGTCCATGCGGTCTACTCATTCATCCAGACACAGAAAGGCACGACATATCAATCAGAGTTCAACGACAGCAGAAGGAATAAACCATGCATAGAGTCAAAATGTTTAGCAAAGAAGCAGGACAACCAGAGCAACTACTGCTGAAGGTGCAAAGATTAAAACAGCACTCAGAGATAAGATTAGCACACCACAGAATTTACTCAGCTATTTATTGTTAACCCAAGTCATAGTTTCCACACGCAATTGAGTTTCTATCTGTAAGTAGTTGGAGAAGACGTTAATAACACACTGAGCGACAGCAGTACCTCCGCAGATGAGGCAGATGGCGCTAAGGAGCCCTGTCTCTGTGTCGTCCATCTCCAGGGGCAGGAGCTGCCCGGCGAAAGCAAACACCAGGTCTGTGAGTGGGCCGAAACCAGCGTTGTGCATCTGTGTTCTGTTGAGGGTCAGTCCATCCGAAAAGGTCATAGTGTCCTGTTCTGGAGTGTAGCGAGTGCAAATCCGCAACATCTGCAAAGTTGAATTTCACAATTAAGAAAAATAAAAAACTACAGTACATGAAAGGGCACAGTGTCTAATTTTTTTTCTCAGAATCCCACACCATGTGCACTGCATTTTTAAAGGCCAATTGACACTGCACAAACAGACACAGAACAAAACCAACAGTCACCATATTACAGTATGTCACCCCTCAGATGACAAACAAACAAGCGCTGACCAATGCTAACACACACTGACAGGGCGTCTACACACTGATCCAACAAAACCAGATGAATGTGTCTATTGCAGTTTGTCTGCGTCTCTCAATGCAGAATAAATCGGCCTTAAAGTGTCAGTTCACCCAAAAAAATAATAATAATTCTGTCATCATTTTCTCACCCTCCACTTGTTCCAAACCTTTATAAGTTTCTTTCTTCTGCTGAACACACACCAAAAAGCTGTCTGGTTAACCTCATTCTGCAAAATATCTTCTTGAGGTTGAGTAAATGATGGCGTCTTTTTTTTTTTTTTTTTTTTTT